TGAAGTTCGTGAATCTCAAGGATCAATGTGAATGTGTCGTTTTAATGTAGAGACAATGGAGCATTCTAATCCGTACGTATATCCCTCGACCGCCTCGCTTGTGTGTAAGAACGTTTTTACTGAGGCAAGGTACCGCTGGAAGATTCCCCCCCCCCCCTCATTTTTAACGTTAAGTTAACTGGTGGATCAAGTCCTAAGAAAGGAATAATATAATATGGTGTACACATAATTCAGTGAGACCCAAGTTCAATTTATCCATATATATCTTCTGTCACAGTGAGCTTAATCCATAGCTTCTTATTGTGGATTCAATAAGTTAGAAATGACTCAATTGAGACACGGACATAGACGCACAATGTTGACAACCAGAAAACCCGTTGCATTGCACGTGGCATGAGTGGGTTGTTGATGATAAATCTCCACGTGGACAGTGTTTCAGCACCCAAATGAAGCCTACGTGGCTAACTGACCATGTTGTATTGGATTTGTTGCAAGCATAGGTCGAAGACAAAAACATATTCTGTCAATCCTTCAAAAATAAAAGACAAAACCTGGACTCTCCATATATTATCAGTCGAAGGTGGTAAAAGTCAATATTTCTCAACTAAAATCAATTCCCCACAAACATATTGTATGGTCCCAATTCACTGTCCAATTATTTTTCTGATAAGACGGAGTGCTGTGTCTCATGCTAGCATTCATGATAAGCAATGAAAGATACATGCCTTTCACACAAGTTCGTTTCTTTTCCTCAATACTCATTTTCTGATCACTATATCCGATACTTAAAATTTATATTTTGTTCTTACATCGAGAACCATGCCCAAATTTTACAATCCCCCAAGGTGGAGGCCATCAATGGAGTGCGCGATCTTCTCGTTGTTTGTTAGTCCCCATTTGTTTTTCACAAATGACTAATCCTGCCTTTAATCCAGATAAGTTTTGTGAGAAAATGTATTGTATTACAGTAGGCACACCTATATGTAAACACAACCCTAGAGTATATGTGGAACTGTCATATACTCATATGTAAAGAATAACAAATGAATAAATAATACATACACATATCAGATGAACTATAACTTGGTGGACTGAACGACCTTAGACTTATTGGACTTAAATGAAGCACCTTTGGGCTTAGTTGGGCCTTAGTCTTAACATTTCTCCTCAAACGAGGGTTGAGAGAATGCACTAAACCGAGTTTGTCTCTGAAAGCTCAATATTTGGAGTGAGTCAATGCCTTTGTGAAGACATCTGCGACTTGATCAAAAGATGGGACATATTGGACTGACAGTTGGCAACTGATGACTTGATCCCAGACATAATGTACATTGAACTTAATATGTTTCGATTGAGCAAGGAGAATAGGATTAGAGGCGAGAGTAAAGGTGCTAACATTATCACACCATACAATGGAAGGTTGCCTTAATCAGAGTCCAATCTCACCGAAGAATGATGAACGCCATGCGAGGTCAACTGAGAAATTAGAAAGAGCGCTATATTTTTCAGGAGACCACTCGTTGCTTTTTTGGCAAACCAAGATACCAAAGAGTTTCCCAAAAACACACAATAGCCTCCAATAGATCTCTTGTCATCAAGACAAATAACCTAGTTAGCGTTTGAGAAGCCCTGTAGTTAGAGAAAATAACTAGGTTTGATGTGTAGAGCCAGGTTTGAGGTGCCTCTAAGGTAACGAAAAATTCATTTTAGGGCCTGCCAATGAACATCAATAGGAGCACTTAGGAATTGATTTAATTTGTTTACAATAAAAATGATATCTGGTCTTGTTGTAAGTATTGAAGAGAGTCAATATCTTGCTTGTAGATTGTGGGATTTCTCATACTAGTTCCATCTTCTTTTGAGAAATAACAACTAACAACCATTGGGGTAGGTATACTAGCACACTGGTCCATGCCAAATCTTCTCAACTAATTCTCAATATATCATTCTTGCCTGAGGTGGAGACATGTTGGATCCCTGTATGCTTCAATTCTCAAAAAATAGTTATGCCCTGGATCTTTCAAGGCAAAGATAGAGTTCAAATTCTCTACAAACAATTTTAGCATGCTAGGAGAATTTCCAGTGATTGTATGTCGCCTACATAGATTAGAACAAACATTACTCTATTCTTTGGCTTGAGAAAGAATAGAGATGTGCTACATTTTGAATGCACAAAACTCCAGTCAAAAGAGTGTAGATTTTAGTTTTTCAAACCAAGCTCTTGGAGCTTGTTTCAAGCCATAATTGCTTTCTTCAAAGAACACACATGATTAGGAAATTTAGAACTTAAAAAGCCTTCAGGTGTTGTCTCATGAATACTTCTTCTTGCAAAGTGCCATTAAAGAAAGCATTGTTGATGTCCATCTGCCTTATTTGCCAATGGTGAAACATTAGTCATCTGTGAGGAGACTTCCAATGACATAGTATTGAGCAACAATGCGGGCAGTGGTGAGAAAAGGCAAACTTTGGTGCCATTGATGAAGTATTTGAGCTTAAAGCTTTTGATAATAGGAAGGACATGCATCTGACATACAGTGACATTTGTTTTGTCCAGCTTGATAGAGCAAGTTTGACTCAGTGAGCCAATGGCATTGTTCAGCTTGGGAAGATTAGAAGCAACGAGCAATGAAGCAGTGTCAAGTCAGATGCTAAGGAGGAGCCAACATTTGATGGAGACGAGGCCATGGTGGCTCTAATGCCAAGATAAGTTTTGTGAGAAAATGTATTATTGCAGGTGCAAGTATCCAGGTGCAAACATTGCCTCATATAGTCAGGGCACACAAACCTAGAGTAATGTGGAGCTGCCATGTGTAAAGAATAACCAATAAATGAATATTACATATACACGTCAGATGGACTATAACTTAGTGGACTGGACCTTAGACCTATTGGACTTAAATGAAGCACGTTTGGGCTTTAGCTGGGCCTTAGTCTTAACAAATCTAGACTGGGGATGAAATGATATAGTTAATTCTTCCATCTTTGATGGCTTATCGCTATAATTTTCTTCTGTTCTTTAAGATATACTGAGAAATCCTTTAATTGTTAGGTGTGGTTATAATTTCAGTATGGGGCAATAAATATGAGACACAAAAGGAAAATAAAAGAAAGAGTGGCATGCTGCAGGTTAAGCTCTACGCCATACGGGGCGAACAGACAGATGAGTGTGTCCCAGAAATCATGTCTATGATCCATTATTGCTGCAGGTTCAGCTTCAACTGAGACACAAAATATAGTGATAACTTATTATGGAACCTTGCATTAGAATATAAGAATTTAGGGGAATTTTAAGAAGCATGTTCAAGAAATTGGTTGACAACCTTCCGGCTTCTGTTTTCCTGCCAAAAAGATCAGATAATGCTTATTTCTCAGTTTCTTTAATTTCTTTCTTTCTTATTTTGTTTTTTTTTAATAGCTGTTTCTCAGGTTCTTTGTAATCTAAAGGTCGAACAAAATCTACTTTGTCTGTCTGAATTATATTGGTTGCAGGAGAGGAGATTGTTCGGTTTCAACCAGAACGTAACACTTGTTATAAGCTAAGCAACCGTTATATTGTGACCCGTTGTTAAACATGTGTAACGATATTCCTTAGTGAATTCTCTAAGCTGCAAGCGATGGAGGGAGAGAAAATATTGACTGACACGCACAATATGAGAATTGAGAAGCATATATTGTCAGAGGAGCCAAGTTACTATGACTGAAACATGCTAACATGGCTTTAGGATTGAAGATATCCGGCCAAGAGTGAGGCTGCAGTTTCACAAATTTTCCCTTGAAAAGGCTGACATGTTTCACACTCACAATGTCTCCTTATAAAAATATAAAGAAGATCCAAATAGTAGCACAACACAACTACGCAGAAAATGGATTACCAGGATTCTTTTGGGATATGATATCCTCAATGAGACTTGACATACAAAATTAAGTATTATATTCCTGTAGATCTGCTTATCAGTGCAAATGAAGTTGTCAATAAAATTGATGAGGCAAGGGAGTGACCATTCATCAAGACCCTAATTTCTATTTAACAATTTGACTAAGAAGTTTTTCAAGCCATCATAGTGATCAAAGGTGCATATTTGTTTCGGGTATTTCACATTTTTTAATTTTTAATTTTAATTAAAATTATATATCATTATTTTTAAGTTACTGACACTTAAAATTGAGTTTTTTATGTTTTATTTTTTCGAATAAAAGAGTTGAATAAAAAAAATAACTCGAATGACACAATTTGAAAATTTTGATGAATTTCATGCAGTTGAGATTAGAGATGATAATTTAGAATATTCATTAACCTGCTTGCATTGAATAAGTTAAGATTTGATTAGGATTTTAACTTAATGGTGATTCAAAATATTTAATTTGTAGAAAACCTTTATTGGAATGAGAATAGAGATGATGTTTGATAGAATGAGATAAGTATCTTTGATGTATATCCCATACGTACTAATGTGAAATAGAGTTAACGATCTCAAGCCCTTTTGTGCTGTTAGGCTTAATTAGTCCATGATGGTTGGGACAATATTTTCTCCAGCGGAATGGATGGAGATAATATAAAAATATAAAATTAAAAGTGTTCAAAAATATAAAAAATATAAGAAGGTACATTTAAATGATTATAATACCCTTAAAGAAAAATATATTAAATAATATTAACTTTAAAAGTGTTCAAAAACCTTTTTTTCATAAATTTAATAAAAATACAAAATATTATTTTTTTAAAAATTTGCATAAGTTTTTTTTTTAATCATCAATATCAAGAATATAGTGATATGAAGCGATGCGAAACGGCAAGTTTCAGACTTAGAGCTCGGGAAAGAACTGGATTTCTACTAATCAAGTTTTAACTGCTACATTTTATGGTTGCCTTCCGGTGAATTCACGATTCGAAAGAAAGAGCTGCTACCTTTATGGGCTTCAAAAATAAACTTGGGCAAATACCCGACCCCCGATCCGACGTGGGAACATAATGGTCTTTAAGGAAATTTGGAGAATTGAGTCATGGCCCGCTCTGATGAGCTAAACAAAAAGGAAAAACGATTTTTTTTTTTTAAATTCCTCCGAGAAACCCTAATTTCTACCCCAGAACAAAGGAATGCTGGTTCCAGCTGAGAAGATATAATTTCGAGTAGAGGTCAGGCTTCGATCTTAGTCTTTCTGGTGGAAGCTTGGAAATCATAATGGCAAAACGAGAGCTTTCCAGCACGCTCAAGAACTTGAAGGTTAGAAATTAGGAATTTAAGGCGTTCCCTTTGTTTTTTTTTTTTCAATCTATAACGGTTCATATTAGATTTGGATGAATTCTAAATGTTTCTACGGTTGCGCTTCATTATATCTTTGGTTCAAGATTTCATATTTATATTCTTTTTATGACTTAATACGGGTATTGTATTTCTGTTTCGACAGTTCATGCAAAGGGCGGCTCTGCGAGAGGAGAAATCCAAAAAAGAGGATGAAGTAAAACCTAATGGCGATATTTTTGGAATTGCCGCAATAGGTAGAAAATGGTAATTTCAATTTTCTTTCATCCTGATGCTAATTTAAACTTCAGTCTTGCAAAAGTCGTGTAGAGTGTGCTGACATGGTACTGAAATTTTCTTAATCAATTTTCACCTGGAATTTTTATGTCGAATTCTAATTAGCGTTATGGCTACTGGATTGATGGTCAGGTGGGGTTTGTTATGTATACATCAAATTAGGACTCCTCATTTCTTAATATAGTTCCATATGTCTTGAATCTGCTCCTTTCTTAACAATAAATATCAGTCTTGTCGAGAGATGCGGCTAGTACATCTGACCATGTGACTCAATAATCCAAACTGATCAAGGGTTGACTGTGAATATAATAGGTTTTACAAACTGCTGAACTGATTCTAGTCTCATGTTGCTAATTTGTCCAAGTCTTATCTATGGCTGTCTGCAATAGGCTATTTTTTCCTCTGTTTTTCTGTTACCAACCGTGAGAAATCTTTTTCACTTTATCATGTCTTGTCATGTTTGGCTAATGGGTAACTTTAAAAAATTCTTTCTGAAATTTGAGATCCTGTTGAGTTATCATTGGTGAAATACGCCCCTGATGCCATTTTACTTATAGCTCTTTGTATCCGTAGTTCATTTTTGCAACCGGGCCTCCGATCTGTTACTAACTTCTGCACTTTTTTTTTTTACCAGCAACTTCTGCATTTGCTGAATTTTTTTTTTTTTTGTGTTTCTTAACTTGCCATTTCTCTCTAAAAATATATGCAGTATCGTCATAATGGAAGGTGATCCCCATCCAGAAGCAGTTAAAGGTCGGATGTCATTTCGAAGCTTTAATCCACGCATTGATGTGAGTAGGAAGATCAAGAATTTTGAAGCTTTTCGTTCATTTTGATTTCTAATAGCAAATTCTTGCCTATGTAGAGATTGAATGAAGAAGAAGCAAGGCTCCGTCAGCCAGCAGCTGAAACATCTATTTCTAGGAATCGAAGTGTAAATATTTCTACTAGGTGGGTTCTCTTATCCTATAATTCTAAGTGGATATATGATCTTTTATTGTAGTTAACTTGCGTCGGTTTGCTCATCCCCGTTCCTGGGGAAAATAAGGATTAGATGGTTCTCCATCAATGGTTTTAATTTAATTCCCAAATCTGATAAACGTTACATCTCTGGATTTGGACTCTGGTTAACTGACAAATCCCTTCACGTTTGATTTAGAGAAAATGGAGCCACAGTAGATGGTCCAGATTGTGCAAACCCTGCAAGTAATGATGTTAGTGGTGACCTCAAAAGGAAACAGCCTGAAGTAATGTCTGAAGCACAATATCCAAATAAATCGCCCGAGAATGATAAAGGCGATTGTCATGCGTCCCCAAAAAACAGTTTGGGGTCTTTCAAAAAATCGAAGGGGGATAAGTTAAACTGGAATGTTCTTAGGCCGCCCAAGTGTTAAAACCAAAATGAGTTTATTGATTGTTAGGTCTCTGTAATCATGCTAAACTGAGTTCTCTTTAGTTTATGATATTGGATTTTGCACCGCTAAATATCATTTTCAGAGTGTAATTTAATTCATAAGCTTCTTGTAGTTGCAAACTAGATCTTACAACGCACGGGCAGTTCATGTTTTTGGAGGTAAATGTATGTGTGATGAAATGGGTTTGAGTAATGTTATTAGTGTACTTGTAAAATCAATTTGGAAATGAGGAGTGAATTTGTTTTGTAGTGATGATGAGATTGTATTGAGAATCTTTAATTTAAAATAAATTAGCATGGGAGTTTATGAATGACCAGGATAGTATGGAAAGGAAAATTGTCAGTTGAATGGGACATCAGAAATGTATAATTGAGCCTATTATTAAAATCTCATGGGAGCTTTTAGAAAAGAACAATGAGGTCGTTATTTTTACTTTCCATTGTATAGAATATGGTAAAGTTAATTATAAAAATTGTGGTTGAATGATATGTTAGTAAAGTTAATTATAAAAATTTTTAATACAAGTGATGTGCAGTTATAGTCACTAGCTAGGTGTCATGGAGACAACATCTGAAGTTTTGGAACTTGGTAAACTTTCCATAAAAATTGGTCTTGTTCTCTATTGTTGAGCAAATAGGTGTAATTGATTTCTTTTCTTTTCTTTCTTTTTTTTTTTTGTTGAAATAAACCCTAGCAATGTTCTAGCAAAAAAAAAAAAAAAAAAACTCTAGCAATGGTCTGAGTGTATGGGATCATACTTTCCATATTACAACAAGAGTTGAGCAACACAAGAAGATTGTATTAATAATGACCTAGTCATAGATATTGAAAATATAAGTTATGCATAGTTATTGTGAACTAGCATGAAGACAACGTTCATAATTTATAAATTTTGTAAATTGTTGGTCAATGATAAGGTAATTTGTCGTAATATTGTTCTTTTTTCTTAATGCCACTAATTTGGCAATTGAAAAGGGCAGATGTCAAAATTTTCAATATGGATTGCACTTGAAAAAGGGGGCGCGCGCACATATATGAAAAAATCATTGAAATATACAATACAAGTTATATAAAGATAAAGGTTAAAAGATAGGATTTTGTCTTTTATTAATGGTAAATCAAATCCTTGTAATGTGCCTCCCCCCACCCCTCCCCCCCTTTGCAGTTAGTATAGCAATTGAAAAATATTGGAATCCAAGAAGAGGATAAATGAAAGTGCACTTCAGCTGCAAGCTTTCTTTCTTTTTCTTTTTTTTTTATGATACTGGGTGAGCTATACTAATAATAATTGTAAAAATTTATATTACGAATTATACATAGTTACAGTCAATTGAAACGAATAAAACGTTAAAAAGTCTAGAAATTTTGTGAATTAATGGATGATAAATTAATTTTCAATAACATGCTTTTTTCTATTTGTGCTGCTAATCTAGCCATTAGAAAATAAAGATTTGGAAATTTTTAACTGTATAATATGAGCTGCAAATGAAAAAAAGCATCATTTAAATCTCAAAAGAGGTTTTAGGAAAGTACAATGAAGTTGCAATTGATATAACCCACAGTACCATATGTGTTGAGCTATACTTGGATGATATATTAACAATGAATTAACCATCAACAGAAGCTAGGTTTAGTAAAAGGAGTTAATCTCTCAAAATGCAGTGAATTAAGATTTAAATCTTCACTAAAAAAGGTGTCCACATTAAGTTATTGACTGTGTCTTAAACAGGATTGCTTTCAATAAGAGAATACATCTGATCGATTAAAAAAATAATGAATTAACTGTAAAAATTTATAATACAAGTTATGCATAGTTACATTCAACTAATTTAAAAATTATGTTAAAAATCAGGGTATTATGTAAATTGATTGATGTTAAATTAATTTAAAGAAATGTGCTTGCTTTTTTCTTGAAAGGATTCATATCTATGCAATGGAGGAGGACTACAAGGCCCATGTTTGATCCAATCAAAGTGATTGCTTTCCAAAAATGCTTTCCAACAAATGTGGTATGTAATTTTGTGCCATTTACTAGTCATGATGTTTGATCTATATTCCATGCAAGCATGACCAGTGTTCCAATGTTGAATGTTAACTTGTGACAAAGAGTTTTGCTTTAATGTTACAAGTCATGTCTTTCTTAATTAAATTGGGATTGGCAAATGTGAATGATTCATATTGAAAGGCAATAATTTTGCTGCAATGTCACTTGATGCAATTATTAGAACAATATCACATCTAGTACTGATGCAAAAGTTACTTCACACCTTTATTCTGATGCTAGTAGCCAAACATCTTACAAGAATTTAATGTTGATAGAGATACATTGCAAGAGGAAGCCAATAAAATTAACCATTTCATTGATAGATGAGTGCAAGATTATCTTTGATTTAATACTGACTCCAACCTTATCATTAACATGAGGCTTCTACTACATGTATAGATATTGTGGTATATGAAAAACTTTTTTGAAAAAAAAATGCATTGACTTTTTGTTTTAGTACAAGGTCACGGTGAAAACCATGCAAAAAGATGAAAATCTAGTCATATCAGAAGCCATGAGGCTTATACAATCGGTAGGCGGGTTGATAAAGATAAAGGTATCAAAATCTTCATAAGGAGTCTTATGAGCCAGGAGGTTAGTGCAATTATTTGCTTTCCTGTAGACGTGGTCAAATGTAACAATCCAATCTCTCATAGAGAGATCTATAATATTTTTAACAATTCTAGAGAGGGGGTGGGAGTCACAGCATCCGTTGTCCCTACTGATTGTATAAGGCTTATGGCTTCTGATATGACTAGATTTTAGTTTTTTTGCACAGTTTTCACCGTGGTCTTGTACTAAAAAAAAGTCAATGCATTTTTTTTTCAAAAAAGTTTTTCATATACCACAATATCTATACATAGAGTAGAAGCCTCATGTTAATGATAAGGTTGGAGTCAATATTGAATCAAAGATAATCTTGCACTCATCTATCAATGAAATGGTTAATTTTATTGGCTTCCTCTTGCAATGTATCTCTATCAACATTAAGTTCTTGTAAGATGTTTGGCTGCTAGCATCAAAATAAAGGTGTGAAGTAAGATGTTTATTTCATATAGTGTTGACTCTTTACAAGAAAATACCATCTAGATCTTGAATTATAAGTAAATATTAATTCATAAAAGTATATATAAATAATGGTAGTATAATTGTACATAGTTCAAAGTATACCATCAAATAATTAACCTCATTGCATTTCTAAGATTCAAATTTACAATCTCTTGTTAAGCCAGTGCAATTCCTACCAATTGAACCCAATATTTGGTAGTTTTGTATAAAGAAGTTGAGATTGAGAAAAAGCAGCATACTTTTCATCAAATTGATATGTAAGAATTGTACATGTAACAATAAAAGAGAATTTCTAAAAGATGGTTAAATTTAATTTGTATTGAGAAATATTTAATTGAACAAGAAATGGAATCTAGGAAAAAAAAGGTTAAAAGTTTTAAAGATATTGAGATTCATTTAATTTAATAGGGATGGAACCAAGCTACATATCCTTCGTCAGATTGATTTTAATCCTTGTGTTGCATACATAGAGAAGTTTTTTCCCCCTTACCATAAATGATGACAAGTAATTGAAAACATATAAACATGAATAATTTATTATAAACTTGCTCTATTATTATTAAGCAATTACTCTCGTACAAAATACATGTTTTAACCTGTAACATACTTTATTATATGGCAATTTAGGATTCCAAAATCAAATAATTAGTCTAAAAAATAACATTAATGAGTATAAATAAAAAAATATAGAATAGTATAAAGATCTATAATTAATAACTAGCAATATCAACTTTCAGAATCATTGTGCATGTGCTACTTTATTATACCTAATGTGCTTCTTCCAACGAGAGGATTGGATTTCTTTAGAATTATAACATCTGATTGGTTTAAGAAGTATTTGAAGTGAAATCAAGTGCCCATTTAGTTCATTGAATCCCAATAACTACTCAAATAAGCTTCAACTCTTGACATTTCTCATATCTATAGGTCTGTGTATATTCTGGGTTTGAAAGAATCATAGAAAGTTGCATAAAAGGAAAGCCAGTTAAAATCATGTCTTGAAACTCTCTTGTTCTTGATCCAGTAATTTTGGAACAATATTTACCAAAACAATATGCCAAAGCTAATAAAATCAGTTATAAAGCTTGGTACTTTCTTGGATCCAACAATATTTAAGATAAGTTAGAGCAATTGGGAGATATTAAAGACAAGTGCTTTATGTAAGCTTACCATGACTTGCAAGACAAGATCCATAAATCATCAAAAGGCTTATCTTAAATCCTCTGATTCATTATATATCATGAAAGCAAGGTGTAGGCTACTGTTTATGTAGGAGCTCATAACCCTATAATAGACTTTCAAGTACCAAATACCCTTAACTTTCATCTAATATAAAAAAAAGGCAATGAAACAACTTATCTCTTCACGATACAAAATTCTATCATAAATAAAATACAATATTAGTAATATTAATTACCATTAAATTGGTTGTCAGTGCAATACAATATTCCTGATGTGGAACCAAAATTAGGTTTTTTGCTTAGTTGAACCCCATTCACATGAAGGCAAATAATTAAGCATTTCTGATTAGCTTGCCAATGCTTGCTTTTGCTATTTCTTCTTAGTTGCATCATGAATCAAGTGAATACATATGAGGACATTTATTTATTGTGCCTATAATTTGTCAAAAAGACAAAGCTAGAAATATAAGATATTTTCTTAAAGGTTAATAACTTAAGGTGGCATAATAATTCATTCCATGCTCTTGAAAAATAGCATATAATTAGTAAATCAAAATAGAAATTCATTGATGAGGAAAATAGGTGAGTATAAATTTACCTATTAGGAAAAAAATTAAATTCTCTTAACCTTTAGGTCCTCTAGAATTGAACCAACTTTTTGAAGATAATTTACTGGGGATAAGACCAACTCCTACTAAGGCTTTAATTAAAATTGAGGGAAAAAATTAAAATTTTGTCTATAGAAAACTTATTTTATTGTAGGAATAAAGATCAATAATCTTTTACCTTGAATGGCTGCAAAATCTAGGTCTTCATCCTTGATATAATCAAAACTAGTAACCAATAACCTAAAGAGTGTAAGTAATGATGCGTTTTGGATTCATGAAAGACAAAGAAATCCATTTATAAAAGATCATAAAAAAAAAGTTTTAGCTCTAAAAGAAAAGTTCGTGCTTTTG